TGTGATTGACGAGTTTATCTATTATTAGTTAGTATTAGTGTATATGTATAACTATTATAAGTTGTTATGAATAATACCCACCAAATGAAAATTTTATAAATTCATTTTATTTTATTAATCAATTCAATAAAAAATAAATTAAAAACAATGAAAAATAATATATTATTTTCAAAACATTAATTAGCTTGGCGGGCCGGTGCAAAAAGCCTTGCGGGCCGTAGGTTGGAGACCCCTGCACTAATGGATCAAAATCTCGGGAAGGTGTCGGATTCTCAATAATTTTCCCAAATAAGAATATATTATAYGAATTACCCAATATTTGCTCCATCACAGTCGAAGCATTAGCTATCTTCTCGGCAATCGATATTATAATACATGAAGCTCATACTAAGTTCATAATCCTCGGCGATTCACTGAGCACGGTAAAAAGTATACTAAATCATTTAAACCCTAGTACATTGCTTCTAAAATTCAGAATGCGCTCTATAAAGCTTCCCTTTTGGGTATACGTATCATCATCATGTGGATTCCCAGACATTTGGTTATACTAAAAAACGAAACTGCGATCAAATAAGCCACATTAGCCGTTAACGATAACGAAACCGTTTTAATAAACCAAATGTCTTACGAAGACACGAAAAATCTCATAAACGCATATACAAAAAATAAATGGTTATGTATCTGGAATACGGAAAATACCAAATTAAATGAAATCAAAAGAGATACCTATCGTTGGGTAAATCCAAAGCTTAACCRAAAAGAAAATACAATACTCAACAGACTTCGCATCGGACACARCAATTCACGCACGGATTTCTGATGGCAAGATAGRAGCCTCCCATTTGTTAAACCTGTGGAACTATGTTAACAGTCGAACACATAATTKYYGACTGTTWATTGTACAATCRAGAACGACTTGAGCATAGGATATCATAAAACCTGGACTACGCACACGGTCCCAACCCTAAAAATAACTCAGATTTATTGAATTTTTTAAAACACTCCAAATTGTACAACTATATATAAATAAAAATGTACATCTCATTTTACTTTTGACGCATCTTTGAGAATATCATCGTTGTAAATACTTATTCATGCATATCTTTTAACTTTCTGTAACTAATGGCCTTTGCTGTCGAAGTTTTTTTGTGATCAATAAAAATAAATAAATATGACAACATTTTAAAGTTTGTATTTAGTGGTAGAGACGCTGTGGTACAGAGAGTGTGGGAAAAATATACATGCAATTATTTTTAAACTGTACATATTTAGTGAGGTACAATTAATTTCACATTTCATATATTATATTTATTTGGGGCTTGGGCACAACGTTTTTTATAAAATGAATTTGAAATTAAAATTAAAAATGTTTATTTGACGTTAACTATTTTTTAAACTAATGTAGTTTCAAATTATACTTTTTTTATTATATTATGTTTATTTCGTCCATATTAAAAATAAAAGTAAACATTTTTTTGATGAATTTTAATTGTTTTGGAAATTACACGAGGAAATAGTGACAGAAATAATAATTATTGTACCTATATTATATTATAAGAAGGGAATTTAGTAGACATACTTATGTTTCGCTTAATACAACTATAGTAACATAAACGTGAATGGTGTAGAAAACATTGAGTTTTA